AGTCATAATCATCAATAGGAAGATTTAAGTAAAACAATACCAATTGAATTTAAAACTTCAACACATTTCACAAGCTAGTGGTTATCAGGACTTAGCAGTTAAATGGATAACATGATGGTGTTTGAAGCGAACAGTACTGAATTCGAGTCCCGGGGTGAACACCAACTCTGAGATGCAGTTACATACAACTGATGAGTATCAAATAGGACGAAACGTGCGTCCTACATTTCACTGCTAACCACTATCTATTTTTGGTTATAATGCTTGTAAATTAAGGCAATATCGAGGCAATATGCATGGTGTACACATATGCCAATAAGAGACTGATCAATTGTAATCCTAAACAACAGTGGACAGATACAAGCAAATAATACCAAGTGAATATATACATATATCGTTTTAAAAGTTTGTTTAGTGGAATGAAAACAAATTAGATGTTTGAAGAGAAATGAACGGAATCCCAGAACTTGGATTTTGTGTTTTTCCTCATTTGTAAGTAAGCCTTATCTCTAATGCTGAGGGAAAGTGTTTCTTGTTTCACCTATTACAACAATTAAGAAAGTTTACTTGGTTGAAACCACGAAGTGATCTTAGGCCAACATTAAAAATCTGAAAGTATTGGATGGATGTTACATTCTAGTATAGGACTAGTCAGTAGTGTATATAGATGACCTCGCACGCGGAAATCGAATCAAGGATGACGGCTCAGTTGTTTGAAGGTAACCATTCGTAAGCGAGACCGAAGGTCTTGGGTTTGATTCCTGAGTGCGATGTCATGGATCTGCGCTGATGATCAGTCCTATGCTAGGACGTAACAGCCATCTAATGCTTCCAGATTCTCATCGATGGTCTGAATATGTCAGTTCGTGATTTCAATTGTGAAAATACTACAATCTCCTGAAATTCTCAATACTAATTTAAAACCTCATCACTGATCTATACTGATAGTGTCTTACTCTTCCTAGGACTGAAACGTTAACGATAGTTAACTACTAAATAGTAACTAGAAGTGATAATTTTATTGAGTTAAGACTAAATTTTGAATCGGAAGCAAACTTGCTGGACTTACTGACTTCACAACTAAATGGTTACCAGGAATCATTTTGAATATTATGATACAGCGAGGAAAATGTGTGAGTGACTGCTAAGTCTAACAAAGAAGATCCTTGGTTTGAACCAGAAGGTATAGGTCCAGATACACTCTATACTAAGGCATGCTCCAGTACCTTTATCTGGAACCTACTGTCAAAGGACTGTGGCCAATCCAGCTAATATCAGATGCATTAAAATCTCCTAATATCAGGCATCTGCTATTTTCACTCCATAGTTGAATGTGATCTAAGATAAAGTTATCAGCTAAGTAGTTCGGGCTACCATAGATAACACCAAGAATAAATGTACAACATTCGAAAATTAATGACTTCGCAAGTTCCACTATCATTGGATTCACAAACAAAGGAACAGATATTTATATTATTAGCTATGTATATTAGAACCCCACCCCCCTTCTTGCATCTATTCCTATCACTTCCTAGGTAGTTGTATCTAGATAATTCTGGAATGACGTCGAAGTCATAAACTAACCAAGCTTCAGTCACGGCTACGATGAGTGGCTTTAGTTCGTCCTCCGATACCCTTTGTTCATGAAATTTATTTCCTAGATTACGATCGTTTGTACATGACAGCACAGCCTATTCATACAGACCTTGAAAGCATTCGTTTCCAAGACCTGACTACTCAAAAGCCACCAAGCGGAAATTTTTTTCCCCATATTGTTTACGGGTTTCTAGTTCAGCCCCCTTTCTTTTTACTCTAACCTCTAGAGACACACATACTCTTACTTGAATGTCAGTATTATCGTGACGTCGAGCGCTATTTAATAAAAGATCTCATTGTTTCTCCTATCCTTGTGAAGTCTATATGATCGGGGTTCAACATTTTCTTTGGTCCTCTTACCTATTCTTAGCAGTTTTTTTTAGCTCGAACTCCTGTAGAGTTAACTGGTAAGATGCTACAAACCAATGCTCCAACGTTTTCCAAAATGCTCGTGTATAATTTTTGGATCAGGGTTGTTTGTTTCTAGCAAATTACTTACAGTAATATTCGATGAGATCAAGATTTGTCCAGCCACCATAGGGTTAAGTTCCGTCCTACTTTTAGACTTTACTGGTGTGTTCTCTGACGCAGAACGGGAATCTACCGAAGACATATCAACCAATTGGTTGTTGCTTGTGACTTTTTCATTTCTCTTTTTTGTCTCCTCACGGTGGCTCATTACCCGTCACTCAGGACAGCTATATCAGGACTACTTGGAACGGCGACGGTTTCATCTGGGTCTTCAGTTACTACTTCAGAATAATTACTACCAATATCGAGTGGTATTTCACTCCTTCTTTGTTTTAAAAGTTTTCCTTTTCCATGGTTTACAGTCTAGTGTTTGGCGCGCCACGTACAGCACGTACTACACTGACACATTCTTCACTGTCAGTACTCGTGTTAATAGTGCAGCCACCATTGATTTTCTTGCAAACCTAATGCAGAAAGCTCATAGCCTCCAAGATCAGTAAAGTCTTACTGGAACAACAAAACATATGAAGCCAAGGGGGTAAGGCTTCGACCATCTTTTGTATGCGGTGTGAAATAAACGGGTACACACCTTATGGACTAATGTTTTTTTTAATAATCGCATTTGATTCCCTACCCTCACGGCGAAAGAACAGTTTGGCTGTCCACATTTATAAGTACAGTCGACCACTGTAGAGGGATTAAGAGAGTAAAAAACAACAAAAATACACAGTATGACCACTAGTGTCGAAATCGACCAATAAAAGAGTACTACATGATGGATTTGGTGTAAATCTCAAACTTTAACCGAAATTTAAGATAAAATAGACTATGTATGCTTTTGATGAAACAAGTATTAAATCACTGCTTTTTTTAAACGCGCGCATAAATGAGTGTTGTTCTAAACGTTGTTAACTGAACAGCCTTTCCTAACCACGAGGGGAGATGTTTACTAACTCGTTGGTTCAGTTGTCTGGTTGTGTGCCCAATACCGCTTTCCCACAGGAGCAGCTGAATTCGTAGATACACATAGATGTAGCAGAACCAAGTACCTTATCCTTTAGTTGAAGAATCATCAAAGATCGGGTCGTAAACCATAGAAATGAATAAGAATTAAATTATAAATAGATAACTTATTTTAGATGAACGCTTTCTGTAGAAATTGGTTTAATTTGTTGTTGAATTCGTTACAGATTAATTTCTGTTGAGACATCACTGAAAACTAGGTAAAACTGAAAAGGTGCTTTATTTTAATATGGTACTAAGAAGCTGTGTGCACCCATAACATGTCAGGTACAGAACTTAGAACCACCATGTCTCTCAGCGAACAGGTCGCAAAAAATCGAATACAACTTTTGATCGTAAAAGGATTTTGCAAATCTTTTTTTATATTTCCTGATTTTAAAAAAATATTAAGATTTCGTTTAGTGCATTGTGAAATCAATGGATAATGTTAGTATTCAGTGTTTACTTGTAAGTCCTACCTGTTCATTCATAGATAATCTCATATAGCTAATTTGATGATTCTGTATAATTAATCCCAGACACCTTAGAATTAATTCACCTTATTTAACGCTATAGTCGACAGATCATTTTTAACCGTTATAAACATACCATTTTTGACAGTGACTAAGCTACAAGTTGCTTGTCATCAACGTTTTGTGTTGCTTCATGAATTATTCATAAAATGATTGTGCATGACAATTTCTTCTCAATTACTTACTAATATCATTCCAGTTGTATGCAAAATTGATTTAAACAACCATGCAGAGATTAATTTGGAGATTCGATCAACTTGAATAGTATATACAAGCATACGATTCTAACTCCGTTGAGCTTAAATAATGATAATCGCTTAGTTCATTTCATTATGAAAACTTTTTATCTTTTTTGTAGTTTAAAGTTTACAATCTAGAAAAGAAACACTCAGTCATCCCAACATAATGCCGCTCGCGGGGTTTGGATGCGTACTGCTGAGGAGTCCCATATCAGGACGTAACAACCGTCCAGTGCTTCCAGGTTTTTAATGGTGATCTAACATCAATTTGTTCATAATCTCAATCAAAAACTTAATAATTTCCACAACCCTACACTGATAATACGTTATGTCGTTATTATTAAACGTTATATGATTCGAACTATCTTTAAATTTTTTTCATTGATCTTTGTATCACATTATTCTATTCCAGAAAGCTAAAGCAATGTAAAGCTATTATTTTCATTTGTATTCAATAATTTACGGACAAACAAGTAAACATGTGTTCTACTTTAAAATCATAACATGTAAGGTAACATAGTTTCTCAATGAAGTAAACAAAAGTTCTCTGGGTATCAAAAATGTACATATACTTTTAAATAAGGAGACACCTATTGAGAAAGTGCATAGATATACTCATTATTAATTCAAATATCCATAACAAAAGCACATAGACATAATACATTAAGTCTTAATTTAAACAATGGTGAGGATTTCAATTAAATTTGATTTTTATTATCAGAATAGGTTTTGTGGAGATTTTTAGAAATTTCACTAGTTGAAATCATGAGTCAATTGAAGCTAGGCCACCATGGAGAACCTGAAAGCACTGGACGGCCGTTTCGTCCTAGTATGGGACTCCTCAGAAGTGCACACCCACGACCTCGCCCTCTGCGAGATCCGAACCCAGGACCTATCAGTATCACGCCAGGCGCTTAACCAACTAGACCACTGATTCAGCATCCAACGGTGTTAATGTCGCGGAGGGCGGGATCGTGATGCGCACTGCCGAGGAGTCCCATACTAGGACGGAACGGCCGTCCAGTGCTTTCAGGTTTTCCATGGTGGCCGAGCTTCAATTGATTCACGATTTCAACCAGTGAACTTTGATTTGTTAACATTTTTCAGTTAAATAGTTTTACAATAAAGAGAATTGTCTATTTCACTTAAATTTTCACAGTACTATCAGCCAACAAGTCATTCTGTACCATCTAAAGTTGTAATCAATCCTAGTGGGGTAACAAATGATCAAACTTATCAATATGATAATAATAATATTCGATTAGAGAATTCACAACAGATCAATTCAAAATATCAACCAATGTGGATTAAAGCACCTATACCTCAATTAAGACTTTCACGACAACGATCAAATTCAGGGTAAGTATTAAAGTGTAATTTGGTTTGTTTCAATATAAGTTAATATCATGAAATCATTAACGAAAAGATTATTGAAAATTACTGAGTTCTGAATAGTTATTTCGTCTTAATATGAAGTTCTTTTACTAGTGCTAACTAGTGAAATTACATTCTGATAGGTAAACATCTGAAACTTCAAATCTCGTATCGAATGTATTATTTTGTTTATTTTCCGAACTTAATACGAAATGATTAACATTAAAAAAAGGTACATAACCTCTGGTAAGAACTATTTGTTTATTAGTGTAAATTAAACACTTTGTTTATCTTGAAGAGATATTATCTTTTAAGTGAATGAACGTTATCTAGAAAATGCGAATACAACGGTCAGAAGGGGGTCTATGGATATAATAGTAATTTTAATAGTTGAGAACATCTGTTGTGAGATATCAACTCACTGAAGATAATGATCGATGTGTCGCTCAATTTCGTGGATTTGTTGAAGTTAGACACTAACACCACTGGATGTCGGCTCAGTGGTCTAATGTTTAAGCGCTCGAGTGCGAGACTAATATGTCCTGTGTTTAAATCTCGAGAGGCGGATCTTGGATGCGCACTGCTGAGGAGTCCCATAGTGGGAAAAAACGGCCGTTCAGTGCTTCCAGGTCTTTCCATAGTGGTCTAGCTTCAGTTGACTCGTGATTTCAACTATTTAAAATGCAACAATAATTTATTAATAGAACATACAATACGATTTTAATGACAAAAATCACATTATTGTATTCTCTGATCAATCTTTTCATTGCTTTTATTGTGTGAGATCCTAATAGCATTGAGAATTGTTGATTTATCGAACTAGATATTGAATTTGTGGTTGATTAAATTTAGAAGAATTACTTAAACTTATTACTTTTAACTTTATATTGGAGTGGTTTTTTATAACGTTTGAAATAAATTTACTATAGATTACTTATTCCTCCTTAAAAGTTGAATTCATGAGTCAATTGAAGCTAGACCAATATGGAAAACCTGAAACCACCAGACAGTCGCCTCATCCTAGTATGAGACTCCCCAACAGTGCACATCCACCGTCCCGACTCAAGGGATTCGAACCTCTAGACTATTGGGTGGCATCCAACGACGTTAATGTTTAACTTCAACCAATCCACGAAATTTCGCCACCACCCACAATTGTCTTCAGTGAGTTACTATCTCGCAACAGACACAGTTAAAATTTTTGGTCACTGCTTTTCACTAGAACTCCAGGGAATATTTCTTGAAGCTAGCCACTACTGAGCACATGATGATTATTATCAGAAAAGGGTTTTGTGGAGATTTTAGTAATTTAATAGTTGAACTCATGAGTCGATTAAAGCTAGATCGTCATGAAAAACCTAGAACCACTGGAAGACGTTTTTGTCCTAGTATAAGAATCCTCATCAGTGCGCATCCACAATCCCACCCCGAAGGATTTGAGCACAGGATCTATCTTGGTGGAGTTTTGTTCTCTGAGCTGGATGGTTTGGTCGTGGAGCTTTCATCGTTCTTATGAACGACATCATCAGCACAAACTTCAAATAGAAGTGAAATGTTTGAATTTCTCCATGTGTCTCAAAGCTTGTTCTGTGCACCTCGATGTTGATTGGTTCTTATTGACCTTAAATTTGTCGTTGTTTACTTCTTTGTTTTGGTTGTGTCTCCCATTGTTTTGATTTTTGTTCTTATGTTTGTGCATGATTTTTCTGATTGGTTGGTAAATTGGATTGATTTCAATATGCTTGTTGATTGCTAATTGACCTGAGTGCCAGGCTTCTAAAAATTCTCTGGTGTTTTTGGAGTTTCCTCTGTCTAAGATTTCCACATTTTTCCAATCGAATGAGTGTCCGCAGTTGTCCACGTGTATTGATATAAGTGAAGAGATATCATGCCGTTTGACTGCTAATTGATGTTCATGTAGGCGAAGGTGAAGGGGGCGTCCGCTTTTTCCGATGTAGTAGGATCTATCGGTCTCGTACTCGAATGCTTAATCTCTAGACTACTGAGCCGGCATCCAATGGTGTTAATGTCTAACTTCAACTAATCCACAAACTTGCGCCACCGACTCATGAATCCAACTATTAAATTACTACGATCTTCACAAAACCCCTTTCTGAAAACAATAACAATTATTTTTATCTATATTTCAACTGTATTTTTATAAATAAAATCAATAATCTTCAATCTGATATAGATTTTTTATTATAAATCATAGTTAACCTTTTGTTTTCTTCACTAGTAACGCTGTTGTTTTACAACCTATTCAACAAATAGAAAATTTTACAAATATACCAAATTATTATTCATCTAATAACCCGGTTAATTTAACATCGAATATACAAGGATCAATTCATCATTCATATGAATCAAATATTCCACTTCCTAATATGAATTCACCTATCAATCGATATAAAACTTCAACAGTGAAATCATATCGAAATTTTCTCACTCCAAAATTAAGACGTAAAACATATGAATTGGATAAAACAGAATCTATCAAATTGAAACAAGATGATTACAAGCCAATAAATATATTGCAAACTAACTCAGGTATTTTTTTTTCTAATTAGATGCTTACTGTTTTTTGT